CTCTGTTTACCGGTCAGTCTACGTTCCTCCCCTCACCTCTGGTCATGAACTCTGGGTAAAGACTGAAAGAATGAGATTGTGGATCCAGGAGGTTGAAATGAGTTTCCTCTGCAGGAGCTGGACTCTCCCTTAGAGACAGGGGGAGAAGTTCAGTTATCAGGAGAGACTCAAGAGTAGAACCACTGCTCCTCCACATCCAGAGGAGACAGTTGAGGTGGTTCAGGCATGTTCTACTGGGAGGAGACCCCGGGGAAGACCCAGGACATGATGGAGAGACTGTGTCTCTCGGTTGGCCTGGGAACACCTTGGAGTCCTCCCAGAAGAGCTGGAAGAGGCTGTGGAGAGAGATGTCTGGACCTCCCTGCTCAAGATGCTGCCCCCGAGACCCGAGTCCAGAACAAGAGGAAGATGATGGATGGATGAAAGAGACAGACCACAGAGTCGAGCCCCGGACTGCGCTGCTTTAAAGACTAAATATTTGACTTGCACACAAAGCAAATGTGGTTTTGTTCTTTAAATTCAAAGTTAGGGGCGGTGCAGTTGGTCGAGCTGCTGCCTCTCCGTGAGAAGGTTGCCAGATGGAATCCCAGCCAGAGGTCTTTCTGGGTGGAGTCTGTTCTCTCCGTGCTGCGTGGGTTTTCTCCAGGTTCCTCCCTCAGAGCCAAAACAAATGCATTCTAAGTTCTTGAGGGAGGTGGTGGAGGTCCAGTTTGTTGTTCGAGTGAGCGGTCTTCAAGTTTTCTCTCGTATTAAACACATTTATACTTTTTGTTTTTCTTCTCGTCTTACTGTGTTTTTATGGAGATATAAGGTTTTTTTCCTGTTTATGAGAATGTCGTGTGTCCACAGGGACAGCAAAGAGTTATTTTAACAGACGGCGCTCAGCGTGAACAAACCAAACAGCCCAACGGGTCTGCTGAACCTGAAGGGTTCTTCACGTAATGTTTGTGAAACTCACACAAGATGGGCCACTGTCAGCGCTCTGTCAGGGTCGGCAGTTCCCTGAAACAAAGAAATTAAAGGACGTGTCAGAGTTTGGAGTTGACCTGATGCTTGAAAAAGATGGTCCGTGTCTCACCATCTGGAAGACCACTTTGTCCTTCTCCCTCTCGCATGTTCTGAACATCACACGATCATCTGGAGCTACGAAATCTACGGTTTCCAGCACCTCTGTCAGAAACGCACGCAGTGAAAACTTCATGTGTCAGAACAAACTGGTGGGACCTTCAAGGTATTCAGTGAAGGCCAGGAATAAATAAACGAAACATTAATTTATTTTAGCCACATGTTTAAAATAAAATAAAAATTTGGAGACTTGTTTCATCTATAAACAGATGTTTCTTTGTGTTCTGTTGCAGTAGTTCCTTATTGGGTTTTGCTGCACGGTGTGTAGAACAGGAGGTTTATTTTTGTACGAGGCGGCACGGAGTGACGAATCCTGGTGAGTGCAGGGAGCAATGGTTTTATTATTAAACCGTTATTTTACCAGGAAGAAGTCCATTTGAGATTATTCGTCTCTTTTAAGGATGTCCTGTGTTATCAAACATCAGGTGCAGCGGAGGAGCCAGGGGGTGGCCAACGGTGGCGGTGGCCACCTTAGATTAATTGTTGGTCACCCCAACCATTAGAGGAAATTATACTATTAAGTAGCGAGTAGTGGTGAGCAGCAAGTTGAGTACATGAGTGTTAAAAAAAACACGCCAAAAAATACTAATTTTAACACTGGTCCAAATGAGTTCAGATGTTAAATTAAACATGTTGACTTTTTTTTTATTGAAATTAATGGAGACAGCCGAACTGAACATACCCAAAAATCCCAGACTATTTGTTAGAGGTTGTACCTTCAGCTTCTTACCGTTCACCACTCGCTGACACTGGGCCATCTTGATGTCAATCAGCTCCTGACAGACAGCGGAAAAAACAGACAAAAGACAGAACAGGTCAGGATAATGGGGACAGTGGGTATACTGGTAGATGCTGCTGCCAGGAAAATACAAAGAGGAGATATATGGATGCAGTTAGAGAGGACGTGGAGGGAGCTGGAGGAGGATGACTTGTATTGGAGACCCCTGAAGAGGGAAAAACTGAAAAAATAATTTTAATTTCCCTGAACGGATCTTCCCAAGGGATTAATAAAGTTCTATCTTAGATCTAATCTATGAATAAAATATCAGATAATGATCTGCTTACAGCAGTAGTCCTCACCTCACAGTAAACCACATCAGCGCCGTAGTCCAGAGCCAGAAGCCTCATGGGCAGAGTCCCCACCCGGACCATCGGGGCCAGAGCCACAATGTCTCTGAAACTCAGTCTGCCGGCTGCCATGGTGTCTGCTCAGTCCATCTGTTCACACACACACACACACACGACTCAGGTGTGCTGAAAAAGATCTATGGGTCTGGATTCACTTCACTGGAACAGTTCCTCGATCACACAGATCTTTTCACTTCAACAGTGCTGATCTGGGTTTTACCCGGGTGCACACTACGCACAGTATTCAAGCTGAAAGTTAAAGAAGACCAAGTTTTGAAATTGAACCAGCGTTCCTTGAAGGAGCACTCTTTATAATAAAAGATCCTGCCCGATCTGTTCCAATTCTTGTTTACTTGATGGATAACTCCAACACCGGACCAGGACGGACCTGGTCCAGATTCTCACACTGTTAACAAGGTCTTGAAGAACATCGACGGCAGGTGTCCAAAAGATGGTTGTGGCAAATTTGAGGCCAAAAGATGTGTTAGTGCATTCGTCGTGTTGGGTCAGGATGTTGAAAGCTGTTCATCCATTCACCTCTCATGTACACATAAGGTGAGTATTAGTAACGTGAAGTAAATTGAACATGCATCAGAATATTAGTAAAGTAAATTACAGGTTCTGGGTTCACAATCACACCCATCATATCATCTCTGATTTAAGGCGACATCTCCTGACAAATGCTTTGCTCTCCATTCACGAGGAAGTTCTTCTCTTTCTCATCTGTCACTTCTAGAGACGGGAGGACTCTTTGAAGGGAACCGGATCTTCGACGATCCGTTTGTTTCACGGAGCCGCTCAGTGTCGAACAAGCAACGGCACCACGTACGGATTCAGCCTTTATTTATACAGGTTAGTCTCACTGAGCCTCGAGGACTCTTTTAGATATACGTCCTCACGTACGGGATAGAAGTCATCAGGCACAGATCTACAGCACGTTATCGCTTACGGATATACGTCACGTACAGATGTGCATGATCATAATCGTCGGCGTACGCGATGACCTCCTGAGCTGCTGCACTCCGCCCCTTTGCCTGTTTTTCTTCATCACAGTAAAAATGTGATGGAGGAGTGACTGTTCGTGGGACTGAGAATGAAAAATACAACTAGGAACGGCTCTTTAATGTCTGGAACTCCGTTACCGCTCATTGTAAAGAGTCGTTCAAACGATCCGGATCGTTCATGGACGTCACATCTAGTCGCTTCTACCCGGAGCGTCGCTCGGCTTAGTCAAAGGAATGGACCCAGAATCCTCCTCCGTTTCTAAAGACGAACCCATTTATCTGTTCTGGAGGTGGAACCAACAAAAAAGCCCAGATGTCGTGGTGACCCGAGTTACAGAGACCGAGGTTATAGTTCTTGTTTTTTGTATTTCACCCTGTTTTACGGCACCCTTATTGTTTTATACACTGCCCTTATTTTAACTGTAGTTTGTTGTTGTCATTGTTTACTGTCATTGTTGTCTGTACTTGATATGTTCTGTCTGGAGCTCAATGAGATTAGCCTGTACAAATAAAGCTTGATTGAATGAATGAATGAATAAATGGTGTTAATGGGATCTATTCAAACCATTTCAAAATAAAAGCTTTAAAGCTGGATGTTTGGATTTAGCAACTGAAAACCCGTTTTTCGTAGAAAGATGTCAAAAACTACTACTGATAGAAAGGAATTTATAAAAAGTACAGATACTGACTTTCATTTTAAAAATATATATTTTTTGTCAACAATAAACTGATTCTTCTCAATGTCTTCAGAAATGTTTGTATGAATATTTTAAACAAAAACTTATTAAAACACAGCAAATTTTATGTTTTCTTTTGATAAACATTATTGTCTGTCCTGGGTCTTTGATTAAAATATTTTTTTTTATTCTAGCCCTGCTGAACACACCCAACACTTCCTCAGTACCAGTTTAATAAATATTCAATCAAAGGGAACTACAACCGGGTTATAAAATGGGCCGAAATAACCAGAAGTTAATCATCAACGAAAAGAAGAATGGATTTAATCTCTGTCGGGTCTGTGTACCAGCCGAAAACTGCGGAACCATAAATGATAATGGGGTTCTGTAAGCACATGCTAGCACGCTAATATCTTAGCGGCAGCTTCAGAAAGATTCACGCAAACACCAGAAACACCTGATAACGGACACGTTATGATAACAGCTGGACAAATCTGTGCCGTTCCTCCTGTGAATAAACTCACCACATGTGTACCTTCTTGTGTTCTAGCTGTAAGCTACAGGAACACCGA